TTACACGAATTCAGATATGGAGCTTTAATAAGTTGTACTTACGCACAATTTACTTGCAATCTTGAGTTTTAAGTAATACGCATTATTAAATAGTACTTTACGCATAAAAAATGATTTTTAAGAGTTTTTGTCAAATGCTTTATAATATAGTATAGATTATGTCATAGGTTTGATCTGACATGTAGCTCAGTTGATGAAGAGAGATGAGAATGACTTTGCTTAAATATAAGATAGGTCTTGGTTTCGATTCCAAATACATGATCTAGTCTGAGCCGATAAATGAAACAAAAAATACCCCTTAAAATTAGGTGTTTTTGAACGTAAGTTTTGTGTGGGAAGGATTGAAGTTGCAAGTGATGAATTTTTTATCCAAATAAAGAAAAGCATTTGGCTATTATTCCGTTTCGTCTTTCTCTCTCTGTCTTGTGCATACAATACGATAAAGAGGAGTCTCCCACCCACACCCTCTTTTACCTCTTTATCTGCTGCTGTTCAGCTCATAAGCCCCCCAAAAGCAGATCCAACTTGGTTGTTAATCTGTCAATTCATTCAAATCCATCCTCTCAAATCAATCAATCAAACATAACATCATCCCAACACAACCAAACAAAATTATGTCCATCACCACCTCCTCCTCCACCTCTACGTCCACCTCCACCTCCACCTCCACCTCCACCTCCACCTCCACCATACCACCACCATCACTCCTTGACCACTTCCCTCTTTCTCAGCCACCCGCTGATCAGCTTTGCTATGTTCACTGTACCCGCTGCGACACCGTCCTCGCCGTAACAATCTTTCAATTCATCTTCACTTAATTTCTTTATATATTCATTCATCCTGCATCTTGATATATAAAATAGCTAGCTAGGGTTTTCATATCATATTTATAACAATTAATTATAGGTCAGTGTTCCCTGCACAAGCTTGTTCAAGACGGTCACTGTCCGTTGTGGCCACTGCACCAACCTCCTGCCGGTCACCATGCGTGGCTTGATGCTACCGTCATCGCCGGCAGTCAATCAGTTTCATTTCGGTCACTCTTTCTTCAATCCTTCTACACATGGTCTTCAGGTTCAGCAGCTTGCTACCTATTCATGTTCCGATATCCTTTCCTTTTATTGTTTTAAAGTGGGTATAACCATAAAATCTATACAGGATGATCAGATTCCAAATGGGAGCTCAAACTTTTTGATGAATCAGAATTACGCAAATGATGTTTCTGTCACATCCCGAGGAGGATTTAATGATCTTCCAAAGCCCCCTGTGATTAATAGACGTAAGATTCAGATCATTTTGTTGTTGATATTTCACAATTTACATCTACATACATGATATTAGGGTTTCTTCTTTTAACCTAATTTCGCTTTATGTTTGTTAATTAGATCCTAATCGATCTTTATATCCTGAAATAAAACCCTAAAAGAATATTTAAAAACTCAATAAAACTATGAACGCGTTAAAGAGACTTAAGAACACTATGAATCTTTCCTCATGTTTAAGATGAAAAAGTACTTTTGTTTTCTTTCTCTTTTCCAGACTTTCCTTCATTCTTTCATCACTACACCGCCGTTCTTTTTACCGGTTTTCTGTTTTTACACCCCAATATTACTTTTTTTTAAATAATTTATTATTATTATTTCATCTGCTTACCTTTTTCTCACAAAAACCCTAATTTTCTTTTTGAGAAAACCCTAATGATGTCGTATTGTATGGCTTTCATCACCAAAATTAACCAATAGAACTGAGATATGGAAGATACGAAAGTATATGGAATTTTATAATTTTGTCCAGTAAATTAACAGGTTCATAAATGGCCAACAAAAATCTTACTCTATTGCTTGTGTTTTCCTATTTTACACATTATTATTAAAAGAAAACACTTTTTATAATTTGATATTGTGTGTGTTTGTATATATATATATATATATATATATATATATATATATATATATATATATATATATATATATATA